CGGGCCGGTCCTTCCCAGCCTCACCCTGCGCCCCTGTGAAAGGGAGCGAGCGCCCGACCCCCCAGCCCTCCCCAAGGAAGGAAACCCCCCTGCCAACGCCTACTGTGCAGATCCAGGGAGCCCTGCGGCTCTGCAGAATTCCAGCACCACCTTCTCGGCTGCTTGTTTTGAGCGCGCCCGCACGAGGCCCTAACGTGACCGGGAAATGCCCCTCGGCACCCTACCCAAGGGCCACGCCCCGCACTCCAGCGTCACGTCGAAAGACCCCCCCAATCAGCCTCTTTCCGTTAGCACTGCAGCCTGCAACGTAGATCAGAGCAGCGCCGGGGGCCCAGGCAGGCGCTTGGAGCCGGCTGTTGCCGGAGGAAGAGGCTACTTTGGCCGGCCTGGCTGTTTCGGGCTGAGATTGCTGTCGTGCTACTGGGCAGGGCTGCGGGGGCAGAGGAGGAATGCCTGGGGACCACAGGGGAGGGGGAGAAATGGCAGCGCTGGCAGGCGGGATAAACAGACCGAAACACACGCCACCAGCACCCTGCTGGACTTCTGCCGTCCCAGGGGCAGAGCTGGAAAAACCACCCAGTTCCTCCCGAGACCCACGCGAGGCGAGGCTGCAGAACGGGCCACGAGGACGGATTTCAGGAATCCGTGGTGGTACAAACGCGTTATCTGATGGGAACAGAAATCATAAAAGGCACTGGGGTTGGCGGAATTTCCCTCTTCGAAGCGTGGTGCACACGGGAACCATCTAACGCTGCCGGGAGGTCAGGCAAGATGACCACAAGGGTCCCTTCTGGCCTTGGCGTCTACTCAGCAGAACCTCGATGTTCTGAGGATTTCAGGAATCCGTGGTGGTACAAACGCGTTATCTGATGGGAACAGAAATCATAAAAGGCACTGGGGTTGGCGGAATTTCCCTCTTCGAAGCGTGGTGCACACGGGAACCATCTAACGCTGCCGGGAGGTCAGGCAAGATGACCACAAGGGTCCCTTCTGGCCTTGGCGTCTACTCAGCAGAACCTCGATGTTCTGAACAGTGACACTCCCCACCACTGGGCTCCCTCCTCGGCCCGGCATGATGTCCTCCTGGGCCGGTGCGTGTGTAAGGGGCAGTGTGTGGGGGGGTGCAGACAAGCAGTCCTATGGGCCTCCCTTTACGCTGAAATACAGGCAAAGCACGGTACTTGCGGGGCGGGGGGAGATGCTTCGCTGCTGCCTGATTGGTTACTTCCAGTTTACGCGGTGTCCGGTCGCACGGTCAGTGCCGAGCGGTGGGGATCCTACCACGGAGGTCGGGCTGTAGCCCTTAGTTTAAAAGTGGGGAATCCGAGGGCTACATGGGTAAGGAGCTGGCTGCCGAAAGAGGCAGACAGACGCCTCGCTGCTTTCGACACCCCACCGGGCACCCATCCGCCTTTCCACATCTGTGACTAGCCCGGGTCGCACAGGGAAACAGCAGCACAACCGGGCAGGTGTTCGTGCTGGTGTCGGGAAGCCAGGCTGCGTCCCAGCAACGCGCAAGCTTCGCCCTGCCCGACTGCCCTGACACCAAGGTCTAGCAAGCACATATGGTTCCGCGTTTAGCTGAAATGGGCCGGTGGGGCGCCAGCCAACAGCTCTCGCGCCCCGCAGTGTGTGTCTGCCAGGGGAGCGCCACTAATTACACCCAGAAGAGCGACGCTTCCTTCGCAACATCGCTGCTCCCCGCCTTCCATATTGGCTGCATCAAATACACACAAGACCAATTAGAGCGCAGCAGATGGAGCCGGCGCCAGAGCAGGAT